TGTTGGAAAAATGTTTACTTTATTGTTTTCCAAAATTGATAAAAAATTGAAAAAGATATAGCAAAAGTCTGCAAAATTAAGAGTGGAAATCTGCTGTAAATGTTATCAATTTATAATCATTTATAACCTTAGAACTGATATTACTTTAGAATTTATTTTTTCACATTTAATTTTTTTCATTCTAAATTACGATCAAATCAAAGAGTTTCGTCCATAATATCGATAATCCCTGTTGATTGACCCATTCTGTGGATCAAGTTCAGACATAAGACAGTTTAATGGAGAAATCCAAAAAAATTATCAACAAAAATAATTTAGAATATTAATTTAAGATGGGCTTGTGATAATCAACTGGAATACTTGAGGGCATATAAAAATAAAAAAAACGACCCCCATTGTGTTTTATTTTTTTTTAAATCAAAACAATTATTTTGATAAAGTTATTGTGGAAAATAAAATGTAAATAATACTGAAAAAAACCTTTTTAAATTTATTGAACCATTAGTCTGAATAATTCTTAAATATAAATGTTTGTAAGAGACACCTAGCGTTAAATAATCTCAACATTTTGCTCTTCTGAATCCTCTCCTCAATTGATGATTGAAGGTTTCCTATTACACGCACCCCCTCTAAGATATATTAAGTGGGGTACAGATGTATACTGCAGAGCTAGAGGGTAACATATGTGTTTCACACATGTTTGAGATGCTATATAGTGTAACAAGGAGACCAAATACAGAAACAAAGGCTGCATATGGTGGTGGGGGGGGGATTGGTGGGACGGCTAGGAAATGTTTCTAAAAACTTATCTATATTTTCATAGGATTGATACATCCTATTGTAAATTATGGTATCAAATATATATTTACACTGAAGGCAGTACGCATTGATGAAAGCTTTTTTAATGAAACTTTTTTAGTTAAGTAAGATTTTAAAGTATTTTTTTTATACGATGTCATTATACTTAAATGGAATACATGCGTAATTTCAAGTTACCCTCCATTTATAGAGTGGCATGTCCAATGTACCTTTGAAACCTTCATTTCTCCATCGTTTCTGAAGCAAGAAATGCGCGAGGCACTTTTATAGAGAAACCACAAATAAAAATATTCAGTTTTCAAAATGGGAAACCATGGATGTTTAATGCAATACTTGATCAGACAAAGCTTTGATGGGTATTGTTGTGAATCAGAATATATTTTATTTCTTTTCATTCTTTTAGTTTTGGTGAGTGCAATGCAATGCAATGTAGAATATAGATTGCCTGAGGAAGGGAAATGCAAGCAGATGTAATATCAAAAGAGCCCGCTAAGGGGGGGGGGGAGCTAAACCCCGACCCCCCCCCCCTCGTACGCCCCTGATTAAAAGTGATTATGTTAAGTGCTCAAAACAAAAAATTACTCTTATAGTATGTAAAAATATTTCTACCTTGGAGCTGCTCTTACAAGTTTTTCACTCGGACATATTACTCTATTACTCAGGGTGTTTTTCACTCGGACATATTACTCTATTACTCAGGGTGTTTTTCACTCGAACATATTACTCTATTACTCAGGGTGTTTATTACTCAGGGTGTTTTTCACTCGGACATATTACTCTATTACTCAGGGTGTTTTTTTCATGTGACAAATTAAGTTACAAGTTACCCCAAGGATGCAATTTCAAGATCACTCACTGACACAACACAAAAATTGACATTTACACATTTTAAAATTTCAAAGATACTTTTTTTCCCAAGAGAATAGGCTGATTTGATTTAAGCATTAGTTTTGTTAAAGCATATTAAAGTATCTGCTGGAAAACAAGTTACAGTAAACTTTTAAGTTAGTCTCCAGAAAAGGAAAGGTCAAAAAATACTCTGGATGGACCCCCCCCCTTTTTCAAAAGGGGAGGTCGTCGAACCCTTGACCCCCCTCCTGGATACGTCAATCATAATTCGATGTTATTATAACACTATAGGAATTTTTAAAAAGAAGTGTGGATGTTCCTGAAACGGAGAACGCATGGATATATAATAAAGCACAGTTAACATTTTCTATCTGTAAGAGATGTTTAGTTTTGATGAAGAGTATACTTTACTCTGCAAAACAATGGGGATCATATTAGGATTCTAATTAGTAATAACACCCGCACTAAAGTATATGATGCTGAACCAGAATAACGTATTCTATTTCTGAGGTATGATAAATGAAAAGAAATTAATGTAAGTTGTGTTTATATTTGAATTAAAAAATGTTGTTTAGATAAAAATAACTGTAAAAGTTAAAAATCCAGAAATTATGGTAAAAATCTAATTGAATGTTTAATTGTAATGAATGAGTAAAAATTGTTAGATTATTTATGTTGCACAGAGACACCTAGCTTCTAGTAAACTAAACATATCACCGGATATTCCTTCTTCACGCCGCCGCCCCCGGCCGGCCCCCACATGAGATTCTAGTATCCACGATACTCCATTTGCTGCCTAGAGCTAGATAGTTAAGAATGTGTGTTAACTGTTAATTAACATATGTAGAAAGCCTTCTCAGAGTGCAGTGAGAGGTTCCGTGATTGCATAAATTTTCCATTTTCAATACACTTGTCTTTTCCCCAGAAGAAGCGGGCAGAATTACGTTACTAAATCCTAGGAATTTGTCACTGATAATTGTGAAAAAAATGGGAAAAATTGATAATAATGCCTATTTTTACACATTTAATTATATTTTTCAGGATCGTCTTCCTCCTTAATATTACGTGTTGCAAGCGGCACGGGAATTGAAGTGCGAGGTGGTAAAAGATTTTCTTCAAGTTTACAGCTGATTTGTCTGAACGCTGAGTTCAATTATATAAGGCATCAATTAAGCGTACGAGGTATGGAATCTCCAGACGCCATGAGCCTGTGCTAAACTCAAGCCTCCCAGATTTAAAAGGCAGACTGAGCCTCCGCTATGCAGACCAAGCCTCCACCTTACAGAACTGCTTTTTTAAATCTTGGTTTTTTATGTAATGAAAAATGTTACCAATTTTTTTACATAGTGGCATGAGAATTTTATTAAAGATTAGATATTTATTGATTGTCATGATTAAAAACATATATGGACTCAAGTGGTTTATAAGATTTATACTAAAACTTTCATACGCAGAATGATATTTGGAGAAATATTTCTGGAGTAAATTTAGTTACTTTTTTGTAATCTTTAATTTAAATAATACTTTTTATGAAACTGCTAAACTTAAATAAATTATAGAAATTTTCTAGATTTAATTTGAACTACAAAAAAAAGTATTGCTTAAATCAAAGATTATAAAAGATGAAATGAAATGAAATTCAACTTTTTTTCTCTATATATTTTTTAGTGTAAAGAAAGTTTTATATATACCTGCACTTTATTAGTTATAATTAGGAACTATTTGTGATAATTAATAAATACTTCTCATCTTTGAGAAACTCTCATGCCATAATGTCAACAAAAATTGTTAGCATTTTTCATTACACATAAAAACCAAGATTAAAAAAACTGTTCCGTAAATGGTGGAGGCTCGTTCACTGCACAGCGGAGGCACGGTCTGCAGCAGAGGTTTGTTCTGAATAGTGAAGGCTCAGACTGCTTAGCAAATCTGGGAGGCTCGTTTCTGCATAGGGGAGGCTCATGGCGCCCGGGGTTCCCTCCCTCGGCGTGCGAGGTGGGAAAGCTTTTCTGTCGTGTAGGATACAGAGCGTCCCATATCATATTAGATTATCTCCAATCTTTAACACCTAAATACGCCCATAATACTCGAAAAATCTAGTATTTTCTGCAAAACAAAATTTCTATTAGCCTTAAAAATTTTTCAAAATTATTCATTTTTCTAAAATTTTCTGATTTGTCCCCCAAATCGTAATTTAGACCCATTGACGCTCGATGTGGGACACCCTGTAGGATAGAATTACATTATATTGCACAATACAAACATGTTAACGTTATTGGAGAACTCAGACTCTACGAATTCTATCAATCACAATTGCGCGTACTCAAGGTCTATAAGCAAGTCTAGTCGAGTATGCTGATCAATAGATCAATACTCTACTTATAGACGATGTAAATTCGTGTACCAGCTTATATCGCTACCTTCCTTACCTTATAAACTCATAATACAAGTACACATAGTAGTATTTCCTGTTGAAATTATGTATTGCAGCGTTAATTTCTAATAAAGACGATTTTAAGTTCAACCCTCAGTTCCCATGACTACATGGGTATTAACATAATACGTGACTCAAGCTATATTTTTCTAATCCCTATCCTTGAGACCTGGGCGCGTACGCAGGATTTAAGCTCGGGGTGGGCAGGTTTTCGTGCGAATGTCCCCTATGTTGCCCATTGTAGTCCCAATTCAAGGCCTATAACTAATGTATCCATCTGTTTAGTTCTGTTTTACTCTCTCTAGTTTCTTTAGTCCACTGTTGTCGAAGATTCAAGGACTATATATTTTAATGGATCTCTCTGCATAGTTCTGTTTTACTCTCTGAAGTTCTAAAAACTATCATTAGTCTGTATTCTGCCTTAATCATCTCCTAATGAAATCTGCCCCTGACCTTTAAAGGGGTTGCGGGAAGACATGCCAAACAATTGCACAATCATTCAGTTATAATTGTTTATCAAATAAGCAGGGGGGGGGGGGGAGAGAGAGATTTTAGATAAAAAGGAAATAGGTAAGGGAAAATTTCAACGACAAGAAAAATTTCAACTACTATTTAAGAGGGCCCTTTGAAGATGGGGGCAAGCTAATTTTTACACACCACACCTGATTTTGACCATAAATTTCAGGGGGGGCAGTGCCCCTCCCTGGGATGCCCAAGGGGGGGGGGGAGGCAAGAAATCTACTTCCCTTTCTGTGTACGCGCCTGTAATCCGGCATAATTATGTTAACAGTTGGATCATGAGGCAATCACATGACATAATTTGTGTAAGGGCTGATTACGAGTCTGAACGTGCAATTTTAAAGCCAATAATTCTCTACAAAAATTAAAAACTGTTAAATCTTTTTTAATACTTTATTTATAAATATACTCAAATGTTTAAGAGGATGATACTAACAATTGTCAAGTCTTATTAAAACTGAAAATAAAAACCAGATTAAAAACTGTTTTGTAAACAGAGCACACAAAATATGAATAAAATGGAAGTACTTAATAAACTTCCAAAACACTTTTTACAAGTAAGATGGTACTGTACAGTTGGAACAGTACTGTACAGTTGGAACACTTAGCACATTTGAGTTTAAAAAGTTATTATACTACATTTCACGTTAAATTAAAAAATAAGGCACTTAATTATAATAACTATTCTTGAGTGTTAAATATGCAAGTTTCGTATTTTTAAAATTTTTAATTTTTCTTAATTTTTTTTTGAGTCATCAAAGTAAAAATCCAAATATGTTGAATTTAAAACTGATTAATTCAATTTGTGTAATTGGAAAGCATTGTTATTCAAAACCATTTGTACTCTCAGTAAATTTGATTTTTGGTTTCAGGAAAACACTTTAAGTACATTAAGTACAGTTTGCAAAGTACTATGTACCGCGTCAATTTTCAAAGCAGAAGTACTGTGTGTACTATTTAATACTTCAAACTTTCAAAACTTTAAGTACTGTGTGTACAACCAAATTCGTTGTGTACTGCAGTAAAAGCAAAGTTATTAAGTGTACTTACTATCCAAGCAATGTACTTAGTTTACTACTCGAGTACTGTACTGTCTACAATGTCCAAGCTAAGCACTGTGTGTACTATTCATGCTATGCAATGTGATTACTATGCAAGCGATGTATTGTACTGTATGTAATGTTCAAGCAAAGTACATGACATTTTTACTGCAAGCATGAACTTGCATTGCCTTCTCCACGTTGATGTACCTGAAACAATGAAATTTTTTAATCTAAATAAAATATTGTTTTAATATTTAATAAACAGAAGAAGTAAAGAATTAACACATCGTATCAAACTATCACGGCAACCTGGGACCAAATTTAATGAATTTAAACTGCCTACCGCCGGTTCAAATTTGAATCACCAAATCAAATCCTGACTTAATCTTCAATTAATCTTTAACCTTAACCTTTAACAGAATTCCAATTTGAAACCCTAACTTAAATTCATGAAATGCAGTCCTTGATGGTCTAGTTAGCATATTAGATCTTGGTCATTGTATTCATAAAACATTCCAATTTGATACGAGTAATCAGTTTCTTTGCCTATTCTAGTCCAGTAATATTAGAAAATAAAAAAACCCAAAAAACCAGGGTTTTCTTATTTGGCATAGCATTTAAAGTAATATTTTCTTGATTTACTTTTCAGAAAAATAGAATCACCTTGAGTCATCAACATTGTTCCCTGATCCTGTTGTGGCGGTTGTTTGATCACTATACACACTTCCTTGGTCAGTATCCACATCCTTGTCTATGATGTGGTATCTAAACAAATCAATTGATGTGGTAACTGAAAAAAATAATTGATGTGGTATCTAAACAAATTAATTGATGTGGTATGTAAACAAATCAATTGTTTATGATGTGGTATCTAACCAAATAAATTGTCTATGATGTGGTTAGGTAACAATACAAATATATTGTCTATGATGTGGTACCTTAACAAATCAATGGTGTATCATGTATCTTAACAAATCAATTGTCTATAATGTGGTAAGGTAACAATACAAATATATTGTCCATGATGTGGTAACCATTCAAATCGATTGTCTATAATGTGGTATCTAAACAAATCAATTGCCTATGATGTGGTATCTAAACAAATCAATTGCCTATGATGTGGTATCAAAACAAATCAATTGCCTATGATGTGGTATCTAAACAAATCAATTGCCTATGATGTGGTATCTAAACAAATCAATTGCCTATGATGTGGTATCAATACAAATCAATTGTCTATGAAGTTGTAATTGATCAAAGCAATAATCTATGCTTTCAGGCTTTCAGGGAGGTCCTACTATCTACGATTCAATATTGATATGATATTACTAAACCAAGATTGAAGCAATGCAAGGCATTATAGATCGTAAACTGTATTACTTTTCAATATTTAAATGTTTCATGTATAGCCAATAAACAAATAAATTGTCTATGATGTGGTACCTAAACATATCAAACTAAATCAATTGTCAGTGATGGGGCGTATAGAAATGAACCACTTGTCAGGACGCACGATAAAGAAAGAAATTTGTGAACGCAAGAAAGCGAGACTAACCTTGCTCTGATGGCAACTAGATGAGCGTAGTAAGCGGGAGCAGGGATAGAAACACTTCTTGTACATCTAAAATAAATAACTTTATTCCATGTCAGTTGACATATTTTTCAAATTCAGACTTAGTTACAGTGTGAGTCAAAATATAAGTGTGATTAGAGACATCTGGAGCAAAAATGTATTTCTACTAAATAAGTTTTTAATGATTAATCTCTGATCTAAAAAATTCATGTTTTGAATACCTGGCGTATGTATGGCAGAGAGAGTAGGTCATGGTCTGCAATTCATCAGCAGTCAGCTGATTATCATCCCACAAACAACGGTAGTAGGAGGGTCGACTAGTGCCCTTATAAATAAAAAACAATAGTGGCGGCCATTTTGTTTTCAACTTGTATGTGTTACAATAAAAGTTGCACAAACAATCAAGTTTTCTGTAAAAATAAGAAAACTTCGAGAAAAAGTCATTTTATGCTTTCCTTTTTTTAGCAATTCTTCATGACCAACATGTTATAGTTTTACCACTCAAAGGATCAACCATATAAACCACGTTTTTTTACATATTCTACATTTTAAAGTTTTTAATTTTCAAATTACTCATTTGTTAATTAATGACACGTTGCAAGCCATTCCTAAGCATCTTTATAGTTAAAGATAGGCGTTGAAATAACCATCCAGAGATTTTATAAACATAAATCCTTTACCTGGATTCCTTGATGAGAACAGAGATAGAAATCATTCTCTGTTGGGTGAGTGATGTTAGAATCCACAGTGGTTCCTTAAAGGGAGTGTTCGCGAAAAATGAAAGGGGGTATAGGGTTAATGCGATAAAAAAGCGCTTTTGATCGCTACTAATCTTACTTCTATCGGTTGCGTCTATAAGGAGAAAATTGTTAAAAACGACTTGTACCAAATAACGTAGCATTCTCCCAAATTGAGAAAATTGAAAGCCACGACTTGGAACGTAAAAAACTCAATTTAATATCAAACAAATTATTTAGATATTACAACCTTTAGTAATCGATTATTTTTCGATGCATTCGCATATAGTTGATATTTTGTAATATTTTGTATTTGTTTTATATACAATGCACTTAAAACACCGATTAGTTTGTCCGCCAGGTGTCTCTGCTCTCGATGCTCTAATGATTCCACGTGGCAGAGACACCTAGCGGGAAAAATGGTTGTTTTAAGCGCATTGTATATTAAAGAAGTAAAAAATATTATGCAAAAAAAACTATATACAAATGTGGCGAAAGATAATCGATGACTATAGGTTGTAATATCTAAATGATTTGTTTGAAATTAAATTGATTTTTTTGCGGTCTAAGTCGTATGTTGCATTTTTCTCAATTTGTATGGGCGCTTAGTTATTCGGTGTGAGACGTCTTTAACAATTTTCTCCTTATAGACGCAACAGATAGAAGTAAGATTAGTAGCAATCAAAAGCGCTTTTTTATCGCATTTAGACTATACCCCCTTTCATTTTTCGCGAACACTCCCTTTAAATAAAAACAATTTTTTAAAGAAAATATGCATTTGTAAAGAGAGCCATAAAAAATCCACTTGTCAGTAGTTTTGGATCCGGACCATTTTTCTCATTTTATAAACTCTTTGTTCATAATTATTATTCCTACCATCTTCCACTCTTTTTATATAAACTCGTTATTCATTATATTTTTCTACCTAGAAGAAATACATACTTCTAAAAAATTAAATTACCGTGAGTGATGAGATATCAAAGACGACTGTACAGAGTTTTTTTTTATTTTTTATTCTTTTTTTCTAAAGTTAATTTTCCTTTGCCAAATATTTAAATAAACTATTTATGTACTGTGTTATCCACAAAAAATGAACCTTCAGGAAAATTGTACGGAATTTTCAGGACTTTAATCTTTCATTCTTATAATTCTATAATTATAACCTTGTTTCTTTCTTTGTCAAATGATTAAGAAATATCATTTGAATGCAAATGCAAGGAAGAAACCATACTTAGCCTGAAACCTTAAAGATCTTAAATGTCTTCATTCAAGTCTCATCCATTGCAAGTAACCCTGTACTTTATTAAAGGTGAAAATCCAAGTTTATTCTTCAAATTTGTATGTTTAAACAGTAGAGTTTTAATCTTTTGTGAATGATCCTGTCATTTAATAACTTATGTACTATCTCACTAACCTGCCGGTACATTACCGGACCGTCCCGACTGATCCCTTGGATTGGCGCAGAACAGCCGTGTGTGATGCCTCTTCTGTACAACAATGAAGGTGATGCCGGGCCGGTAATCCGTCTCCAGGGATACACAAGCTTTCCTTTTTAACAAAAAATATTTATCTTAATATTTTTTTGTTTATATTTAAAAAATTAATATTTCAAAATTTTTTTTAATTTATAATTCATTTTTTTGCTACCTAATGGCAAGCAGTTCGTTTTGAAGTACAGAAGCAAATTGACCCTCTGAAACACCATCACGGTACATCACAATCCTTAAACATTGATGTTATCAAAAAAATGGCTCCGAGCTACATGTTGTCCCATTTCTACATCATTCTATAACCAAAACTTAAGTACTATAGCAAAAAGGGGAGGGGGGGGGGGGGAGCCTAATTTTGTTAAATAAATCTGACCTATGAGGTTTGAATCCAGTCTTGACATAGAAGTTGACCAAGGACTCTTTAACCATCTCATACAAAGCATTGATCACGTCCATCCTTGCCTTAACAAAAGCTAAATCAAGAAAAAAATTTTAACAGTACACTCTTTTTTAACATGATTGGCAACCTATTTGTTAAAATTCATGATTTCCCTAAAATTTTAAGCCATTTGAGATTTTTATGTAGAAATTTGATGATTTATAAAATGAATATATTTATGAAGTTTTAGGCCACATTAAGCTGTGAAAAACTTTATTATTTAGTCAAAAGACAATTGTGTGAGCAATCTGACGTCGGACACCTTTTACATAGTACACACCATTTGTATCCTGACTACAGCACTGTACAATGATGGATGAGCATCAACTGAGGCAACAAGAGCAGCAATGCTTGGCTTCTTTGTGTCTCCAGCTGGGGGATGGGTCACAGTAGCTCCAAGGAACATCAGAGGCTCACTTAATCAATAAATCAATTAATCACTTAATCAATTAATCAACCAGTTAATCAATCAACCACCGACCATTTGATTAATCAATCATTAACTTAATCAATTGTTTTATAAGATCAGTGATTAACACTTTACTAAAACACAATATTTCATCATTTTTTTTAATGGTTAAAGTTCTTTCTGAAATAGATGACTTTAATATTTTTTATTTTGTTTATCATTATCATTTAACAAACTGTTCTTATCAATCTTATCATAACAAGATCTATTCAAAAATACCTAATCAAAGCAGTGTTTAATTCAAAGAGGTAAAAAGTATAAATGATCATTTTGATGATGATCAAACGAAGATTTCAAGGCCCGGTTGTGAATCAGACTTGCCCCTTCATTAATGGAGGTTAGCTTTAAATTACTTCTACAGTCCCTTTAATTTCTAACCTGAATATCCTGATCCTGTTCTCTGGAACTAGGATGGTGTTTATCCCCCCCAGCTTAGCGTTGATCTTCAAGCATAGGTTCGACAACATCTGGGCAGTTGTCCGGGTCACATTCTTGGACTTGATACACTGGGTTGCAATTCCTAGATTAAATTGTAATAGATAATTACAAGAACTGAAAATCTAAATTTCTTCAAAATTTAAGTGTTTAAGTGTACTGTCGTTTCGTGAAGAGTGGTGTAAACAGAACTGGCAGCACTGAAACTGCAGTACATTTTATTTCTGAACGACACACATATATTCCTTTCAAAATTTTCAACAATTAACATACAGATCGGACAAAAAATATTAAAACAGATATCATAAAACTGATTTTTTAATTTCAAATTATATAACTAAAGCTATTTACTAAATACCTAAAACACTGTCCCCCATTCTCTTGACTTCAGCATAGACGGGAGTTTTCCCAGGGAGTACAACAACAATCAGCTGCAACTCAGGGAACTCTTTCCTGAAGTACAGTACATAATAATTAGACCGGGTTTTTTCCAGGGAGAACAACTACAATCAGCTGCAACTCAGCTCAATTGATGTGAGGTATCTCTTTGCTCAAAATAAATAAAATAAATGCACAAAGGCAGTACAACAAGTATACGCTGGATTTCATTAATACATAATCTATATATATACTTTGCTTGCTTGTTTTTCTGTTTGTTTGTTTGTATCTGATAAAAATCAAAACAGCTGAACCAAACTGGCCCAGATTTTGTGTGGGACATCACATGAACTGAGAGAAGGTTTATGTAAAATCAAAATTGGAAAAAATTCCTGGACATTTTTTTTAAATGCGCCAATTCGAAAAGAAATCTTCCAAAATTTGAAAATGATTATAAATTGCAGACAGAGCAACAGTTAAAAGTTAAAATTATTCACAGGAAAGGAGATGGGAAGCGCCCTAAAAGCCTAGTATTAATAGTTCCAGAACAAAAGGATGGATTTATGAAAACTCATACCTGCAAAAGCACATAAAAAGCACAGTAAACAATAACTGCAGATACCAAAAGAAAATTGATAACATTTAATCATGTTGTGTTTCTAAAAATCTTTTAAGAAAAATGTCTGAAGTAGAAATCAATTAAATTATTAGATATTTGAGTATGACTTACTTAAGGAAGTTGAACATGGGCATAACACTGGTAGCATCATGAATATATTTACAGAAGCAGGGTTCTCTGATTATCCTCATTCCCAGGTCGCTGGAGATCTGGCTTAGACGGTCAACAAACAGCTTCAGATCCTTTCATAATATGTAACTTTTCATTATGTAATATTTAGGGTCTAAGAGGTTTAAATTTAGCTTCTACTTAAAATTGTGCAACACAAACTGCTGCAAAATGAATATTCATGATGTTTTTTAACAATTAAACCTCTTAATTCTTAACAGTTTTCTTTAAAAATTAAGCAACTCATTTAAGTAAGGAAAATGCTGTAAAATAAGTGGCAACTTACCCAATCCATGCTTGGCAATCTACCTAAATAGGGTTTATGGCAATCTACTCTACCTGGGATTTATGGCCAACTACCCTACCTGGGGTTTATGGGAATCTACCCAACCGTCCATTTGGGGTTTGTGGGAATCTAAACTACCCGGGGTTTATGACAATCTACTCTATCTGGGGTTAATGGGAATCTACTCTACCCATGGGGTTATTGGGATTCTACCGTACCTGGGGGTTAATGAAGTTCTACTCTTCCTCAGGTTTATGGGAATCTACCTACCTGGGGTTAATGGAAATTTACCCATCCATAGTTTATGGCAATTTACCCTACTTGAGGTTTACAGCAATCTGCTCTATTTGAGGTTTATGACAATCTACTCTATATAGGGTTTATGGCAATCAACTTTACCTGAGTTCATGTCAATCTACCCTATCTGAACTTTATGGCAATTTACCCTATCTGAAGTTTATGGCAATTAACCTTATCTGAAGTTTAACAATTTACCCTACCTGGGGTTTATGGCAATTAACCTTATCTGAAGTTTAACAATTTACCCTATCTGGGGTTTATGGCAATTAACCTTATCTGAAGTTTAACAATTTACCCAATCTGAAGTTTGTGGCAATTAACCTTATCTGAAGTTTATGCCAATTTACCCTATCTGGGGTTTATGGCAATCTACCGTACCTGGGGTTTGACTGACTGCTGAGGTGTAAAGCAGGCAATTGCCCAATGTTTAATTGTCATCCCTTCATAGAACTGTTTTCCTCGCATGTCCCAAACTCCTTGACTGGGCACTGTGAATGTTCTGGCACTCCTTAAACATAGAGAACATGAAGGTATTGTTTACCGATTTCAAACCATGTTCTAGTTTCCCATGTTCATTAGGCCTTCTATTGCCCAGCCCTCCGTAACCAAATCAAGAGCTTTAGTGATTAGCCTTAAGTCTAAGTCCCCTTTACAGTCCCTTTCAACATATAAAAAATATGGAGATTGTTTAACATTTTAAAACTATGTTCTGGTACCCCTTAAACATACATGTTCTGGTACTGCTTAAACATAGAGAACATGAAGGAATTGTTCACTAATTTAAAACTATGTTATGGTACTCCTTAAACATAAAGAACATGAAGGAATTGTTCACTAATTTAAAACTATGTTCTGGTACTCCTTTAACATAAAGAACATGAAGGAATTGTTCACTAATTTAAAACTATGTTCTGGTACTCCCTTAACATAAAGAACATGAAGGAATTGTTCACTAATTTAAAACTATGTTCTGGTACTCCTTAAACATAAAGAACATGAAGGAATTGTTCACTAATTTAAAACTATGTTCTGGTACTCCTTAAACATAAAGAATATGAAGGAATTGTTGACTAATTTAAAACTATGTTCCATGGTACTCCTTAAACATAAAGAACATGAAGGAATTGTTCACTAATTTAAAACTATGTTCTGGTACTCCTTAAACATAAAGAACATGAAGGAATTGTTCACTAATTTAAAACTATGTTCTGGTACTCCTTAAACATGGTGGTGAACCTATCTTTATGATTTACTAAATTTCAATTTTCAATACTTTTTTTCGCTTAAACTTGATGAACCATTCAGAGATAAGGAATTGTTTAATAGTCTCTTCTTAACTTTATTGTACTTTACTTAACAGTTCCTTAAATAAAACAAAAAATAATTGTATTATTCTATACCTGGAACCATATTCCAGTTTAGGAGGGTTCAGAACCCTACCCTGGGTTTCCATCATTCTTTGGGATACATCCAGACCAAACTTCTTCACATAGGGATCATTGTTGAAATCAGCTTTGGTGATTAGATTCCTAAAACAGGGATTGGTTTAGGGATCATTGTTAAAACCACCTTTGGTTATTAGGTTCCTTGATAGGGATTAGCTTAGGGATCATTGTTGAAGTCAGTTTTGTTTATTGGGTTCCTAAATAGGGATTATTTTAGGGATCAGTATTGAAGTCATGTTTGGTTATTAGGTTCCTAAATAGGGATTAGTTTAGGGATCATTGTTGAAGTCAGCTTTGGTGATTAGGTTCAAATAGGGATTAGTTTAGGGATCAGTATTGAAGTCAGCTTTGATTATCAGGTTCCTAAATAGGGATTATTTTAGGGATCCGTATTGAAGTCAGATTAGGTTGTTAGGTTCCTAAATAGGGATTAGTTTAGGGATCATTAATCATTGGATGAATTAAGTTATTGTAGTAAGAGTTTCAGATATTCAACTTTATTTAGAATAGTAAGGAAATAAGGTTCCCCACTGAAATATGTTATATCTATTTAATGTTAATGTCACTGGAAGATGCTGTCATCATTGAAAAATGAAAAATATAGTATTAAATAATGTAAAAAATAAAAACCTAATTTCTCTCTCTCTATCTGGAGCAGATCTAGCGGTTGCCTTGATCATAGTTGAGGTCTGTAGGTCGGTCAACTTCTTCAAACATCTCTGCCCAGCTACTATACGACATACCTAGATAACAACAGAGTCAAAACTAAAGAATCAAAAAGTTTCTGTGCTTAAATTTTAAGTTTCAGCTTAAATACCGCTGGTGACTTAAATTAAGTCTTAACTTAAAGATACAGCTTAAATATTTAACACAGCGAATTCGACAAGGTAAATATTTAAACCAGTGAAATCTCCGCAGTTCATTATTTATCCAAACTAAAGTAAATTGCTAGATTGAAATCTTATGTTTAAATTTCTTATTAAAGCTCTATTAAGAACAAAAGTCTGGAGTACCTACAGTATATGCTTGACTTAGTGCATTTTATGTAAAACAATGTTAACAACCGACTTTTATTTGGACAATTTCTCATTGACAGAGAATTTATATTTTTTGGCTTTCACCTGGTAAAAACTAATGTCTAGTATATCTGTAGTAAATACCCTACTCCAGAACGGTTTCTCTAACATGTATCTATCCAGGTACAGTTCAGTTTCACTTAGATATCAATGATAAAACCCAGATACAACCTTTTTAGCTATCCATATCAATTCTGTTCACACTTGTTGCTTCATTGTTCCAAGAAGTCTGTGGCATTTAACAAGGGTTCCTTGATTCTCGCCACTGCTACCACTTATGTAGTAAATACCCTACTCCAGAGTGGTTTCTCTAGGAACAGTTCAGTTTCACTTTGCTATCAATGTTTAAACAAAGATAAAATCTCGTTAGCAATCGATATCAATCAGAAGCTCGTAACTATCTATGCCAAAGGGCACTATCCTTAATCTGTTTTTCAAAACAGAGATGAGATTTTAAAAACCTGTAAAACCTGGCTTTTGTGTCTGCTTAGACCCAAGTAAAGCTCAAGCCTAGACCAGGGTTTTGGATGGCCTTGAAATCAGTAAAAACCAACCACCTTGGCTGTTTTTCTCTTCAAGACTTGGGTCTTAGGCAGCTGATGATTGTAATTTTTAAAAAACTTTTTTAATCGTACATTTAAAATCTTGGGAATTATCTGTAGTGTCAGATTTGATCAAAGGTATGAAATAAACATACTATACAAATAATGTATCTATTTAAAGTTTGAATTTTCAAAATTTACATCTCCTTGTCAAAGCTGATCTTCCAGCAATCTGTCTACTAAAGAGATAAAGCTTTCTAAGCAGTCTCTAATTGGTCGAATCAGAGCCAATCCTAACTTGGGTTCTATCTGAGCCCAACTCTGGGTTTCACTCGGGTTTAAGCTTTTTAAATCTCATCTCTGGGAACCACACAGATACAATCTCATTATCTATCAAGGCCACTACCACTGAGCGCAATTGTTAGCTATGGATATCAATCAGAAGCAACTATCAATTCCAAATCAAAGTGGACGATCCTCAACCTGTTTATTTACACAGGTAACCACATGGATACAATCTCATGATCTATCAACACCACTACCACTGAGCGTGATCTTGTTAGCTATTGATATCAATTGGAAGCTCGTAACTATCCATCCCAAATCAAACAGGACAATCCTTAACCTGTTAAATAAAACAGAAAACAATTACATTCTCGCAGTTAACAGTACAGACTTTCTATATCAACACAGGCATATTTCTTTAGTTTAGATTAGAACTGGGTCTTTAACAGCGTAATTACAAGTTATGCGCAGTTATATATAACGTAGTTAAGCAATCACAATATGGGCATGACGGAGTTATATATTTCTATGTACATTAAATGGGTTTAATGTATGTATTTTTTAGATTTCGATTAGCGAGAATAGATATAACATAGTTAAACTGTCTTCGCACATGTTTACAGTGTAATTTAAGTTGAATGTACGTAATTAGAAGATTAACATGGATAGATATAAACGTAGTTAATATAGTCACAATGCCACAATGCATGCCTTAATTATGTTTCTTAGCTCATGTTTATCTAGGTATGCTCAGGTTAACAAATATAGGGATTGCTACAATATTTGCTACAAATCTACAGATTATTATTTTCAGAAGGGGTTTAAATGTTCAGCATTTTTATCTTTATGCAGCATTGGTTTTCGCAAATTAAATCAAAACGGGGCAAAAAAATGCTTTTCTGATCTAGATGATTTACATAATTATTATAAAAATGGCTGACCTCCATGGGTAGATAGGTATGCTTGTGCTCCTGTCCAACCTGGAGACAGGGTAGACCTGGATATCTTAGTTTCATCCTGAACAAATCATAATTAAAAGAAAAGTAAAAAATAGCATTTATTTAATTTTCTTTAATTTGATTTATTTTTTACTTTAATTTCATTTAATTGAACATTTTAATTGTACCTGTATTTGTCCATGAAGAACTTTGACACAGTACACTCCACAGTTTGACCGTTCTCCAGCTGAAGCGGAAAGCATTGCATCTGCGCACTTCGTCGCGTAAGATTGCAAACGCGGTATTTGCGCGCAATCTGAGAATGGGTGATCTCCACCTTCAGTCCTTTCAACTCTTTGGCAAGCCTAGAGCGCTGGGTGTCGTTGAGTTGAACACCAGATTCAAGATTTCTAAATAAAAAAATATTAAGGTTAAGAAATAAAGAACACTGAATAGGAGTCTATAACATTTTTAAATGAAATTAAAAAGTTTAATTTTTCTTAAAAGGTTGTCATTGTAAGGAACAAAAGTAGCAAGAAGAATATTGTAGCACATAATAGATTTTCTAAAAATTAGATAAGTTTAACAATCTTGTAATGTTTGCAATACGCGACCATTCAGGGACTACAAGAGTAATTTTAGTAACCCTTCATGCAAAGATAGCATATCCGATTCACAAAGAATAAGGATAACCTTAAAACCTTTATGTGATCAACATTAAAACCACAATGAAACAGGATCAGTTTTTCAAAATTACTAACATTGATATCTAATTCATATTAAACCTGACAAGCATTTAAGGGTACCAATGTGAATCAGACATTTGTTATCTTTGCATAGAGTGTCATTTTCAACAGTTAAATCTAATAAAAGAGACATCTATGATAAAAATTCCAAACTAAGTGTTGACCTGAGATCTAGCAACTCTGAAGCAAACTCCACAACTGATTGTCCTTTGTAGAAAGCTGTTGCAGAGACATCTATGTTAAGCGTCATCTTCCAGTGTGAAGGCCGAACAGATTGGTGAAAACCAAACCAAACCTAAATAATTATGTTCAGGTGTTAAACTGGGGGTTTTCAGTGTTTTACTAGAAGTTTATAAGTCATATTTACATGCACTGTAAGTTTAAGACCATAAAAAATTATTATCTAGTTATTTTCATTTATTTACTTAACTGCAATGTGAAGTGAATATATCTAAACAAGAAAAGATGGGTTTCTGGAGGTATTTAAAATTTAAAAAAAATTTAAAATCCTACAATTTGATCTCAATTTTTACCTCTCTACCCCCTCCAAGGGGGTGGAAATAGTTGGTAGGCGGGGAAAAGAACGAACGCCCTACGGGAGTATACAGCATACTAGGTAGGTGTCGCATAACAACATCTGAAATTATTTAATAAATGAAAAAATATCAAATCTAAAACTAAAACTATATCACATATATACATAAAGTCGAAATCTCTGTTTGATTCATAACTCATAAACCCCTGGACCAATTTGACTCAAAATTTGATTGGGGAACTCAGGAGAGCCACCAAAATGTTCTTAGCTTAGTTTTGAGAGTCTAAGTTGAGTGAATCGACTTTACTGGCACGAATTTAGTTTCCAGGTAAAATCAACTCGGTGGGGGTAAACGGTGCTAGTAACTATTATGAGTAACCTGGGAAATGATAGGTTCCCAAGCTAGTATCAAAATATTGTGAATGAACTATGGCATTAACCAGGAAAATTTGTTTAAAAGTTTCTAAGATGAAAATCACCTAAAGCAAAAGCAGCATCTTCCGGCACTTCTCGAAGACGACCTTCAATACTAGACAGCAGATCATACAAGGAGATCTTTTGCTGAAAATAACATAATTATTTATCAGCTCTCCTTTCCTTAAAGGGAGTGACCGGCTATGATAGGTAGTTAAACTGAGTATGCAGTGTTCTGGAAAACTTCTTTCTGATTCATTTGAGACATATAAAACTTTGTAAAGATCTGTAAATCCTGAGTTTGAGCGCAAATTCGATGTTCAAAACTTCTACTTTGGGGGTGGATACGTTTTCAGAATTAGTTTTTTTAAATTATTAAATAAGAACAACGAAAAATAAAGTAAAAATTAAACAGAAATTTGCCAATAAATCAATGCTAAAATCGATTCAAATTCTTCAAATGTCGTCTTTTCAAAAATAATTCTAGAAAATCTAATAATTGAACAAGATTACTTACTTTTGATAAGATAAATTTTTATTTTCTCAACATGTTCCAATACATGACATCCGTAATTTATTGTAGAATTTTTTTACATTTTATGTCGTCGTTATTTAATAATTTTAAAAAATCTAATTCTGAAAACGTATCCAGCCTCAAAGTAGGAGTAACGACATGCGTTATTGCCCTTTAAAGCTTTAAAAAAGTGGTTAATTGAAAATCGTCCTCGGGATTAATGTTAATGAAATTTACCTCATAAGAGACCATGACCATAAAAGATCTCTCCCTCCCATCATGCGCTGCTAGGGTTACCTAGAAATTAACAAAATAAAATTGTCGAATATTTTTTAAACAAACAACAAAACACCCCCAAAAATTTTCAGGCTTCTATTTTTTTTGTAGAACCTCACATGATAAGGAAAGACTATATTCAGAATTTAAAGATTTTACACCTAAACAAAATGAGGAACTATTTAGTTTAATAAAAAAGTTTAAAAGCATATTAGGCAAAAGGGAGGTCCGTTCTGTTGTTCAGCTACATTTTAAAGCTTAAATTACCAATGGGAAAAAGAAAGAATAGCTTAGAGTACTGATAGAAAAACAAGACAGTTATTCTTACATTTTTAAATCTGCCGGAGATTTAAAAATGAGGAAATAACTATGTTTCAAAATTCAGTACCGCCAAAATTTGTTTTACTAAACAATTTTGAAAAGTTCTAGGAAGCTCGATATAGCCTGGGGACATAAAAATTTGATTGTAAGTTAAATAATGATAATGATAAGGATAATGATAATGATAATACCAATAACAATAACAACAATAAGATTAAAAATGTTATACTTTACCTGGAGTTCAAGATTCTCCTTATCCTCTACACTTGGTATAGGTTCAATAGTATACAGGCTCTCTCTACCATCATATACAGGGAGAATAGGACCTAAATACAGGGATTAAAGGGACTATACACTATATACAGGGAGAAGAGGACCTAAATACAGTGATTAAAGGGGTGTACACTATTTACAGGGAGAATAGGACCTTAATACAGGGATTAAAGGAGTGTACACTATATAAAGGGAGAATAGGACCTAAATACAGTGATTAAAGGGGTGTACACAATATACAGGGAGAATAGGACCTAAATACAGTGATTAAAGGAGTGTACACTATATACAGGGAGAATAGGACCTAAACACAGGGAGTAAAGGGGTGTACACTATATACAGGGAGAATAGGACCTAAATACAGGGATTAAAAGGAACTCTGCACTATATACAGGGAGAATAGGACCTAAATACAGGGATTAAATGGACTCTACACTATATACAGGGAGAATAGGACCTAAATACAGGGATTAAAGGGACTGTACACTATAAACACGGAGTATAGGACCTAGATACAGGGATTAAAGGGACTCTACACTATATACAGGGAGAATAGGACCTAAATACAGGGAGTGAAGGGGTGTACACTATAAACAGGGAGAATAGGACCTTAATACAGGGATTAAAGAGACTGTACACTATATACAGGGAGAATATGACCTAAATACAGGGATTAAAGGGGTGTACACTATATACAGGGAGAATAGGACCTAAATACAGGAATTAAAAGGAACTCTACACTATATACAGGGAGAATAGGACCTAAATACAGAAATTAAATGGACTCTACACTATATACAGGGAGAATAGGACCTAAATACAGGGAGTGAAGGGGTGTACACTATATACAGGGAGAATAGGACCTTAATACAGGGATTAAAGAGACTGTACACTATATACAGGGAGAATAGGACCTAAATACAGGGATTAAAGGGACTCTACACTATAACAGTGAGAATAGTACCTAGATACAGGGATTAAAGGGGTGTACACTATATACAGGGAGAATAAGACCTAATTACAGGGATTAAAGGGACTCTACACTATATAAAGGGAGAATAGGACCTAAATACAGGGATTAAAGGGACTGTACACTATAAACAGGGAGTATAGGACCTAAACACAGAGATTAAAGGGACTCTACACTATATACAGGGATAATAGGACCTAAATATGAAGGAACTATATACTTTATTTAATGGTGAAATCATGAGAACAAAAAAAGAACATCACTTAAATGATCTGATATTCCACTTAAAAATATTATTAGAATAAATAATTCTACCCATTGAAGTTCTCCATATGGCTGTATAAGCATCCACCATAGTTTTTACAATTTCACGATTCACACGTCTAGTTTACCAAACCAAACTTTAATCACCATTTTGAATTTTTGATTTCCAAACATTCTCATTTTTAACAATAATTTTTTTAAATTATTAATATGTGTTATAACTATGTCCTTTTTTAAAATCATAATATGTTATAACAAGTTTCTTTTTAAAATCATAATATGTGTTATAACAAGGTCCTTTTTTAAAATCATAATGTGTTATAACAAGTTTCTTTTTAAAATCATAATATGTGTTAAAACAAGGTTCTTTTTTTAAATCATAATGTGTTATAACAAGGTTCTTTTTTTAAATCATGTGTTATAACAAGGTCCTTTTTTTTAAAATCATAATGTGTTATAACAAGGTGCTTTTTTAAAATCATAATATGTGTTAAAACAAGGTCCTTTCTTTAAATCTGAGTATGTGTTATAACAAGGTCTTTTTTTCAATCATAATATGTGTTATAACAAGGTCCTTTTTTAAAATCATAATGTGTTATAACAAGGTCCTTTTTTAAAATCATAATGTGTTATAAAATGTCCTTTCTTTAAATCTGAGTATGTGTTATAACAAGGTCTTTTTTTCAATCATAATATGTGTTATAACAAGGTCTTTTTTTCAATCATAATATGTGTTATAACAAGGTCCTTTTTTCAATCATAATATGTTTTATAACAAGGTCCTTTTTTAAATCATAATATGTGTCATAACAAGGTCCTTTTTTCAATCATAATATGTGTTATAACAAGGTCCTTTATTAAAATCATAATATGTGTTATAACAAGGTCCTTTTTTAAAATCATTATGTGTTTTAACAAGATTCTTTTTAAAATCATGATGTGTGTTATAACAAGGTTCTTTTTAAAATCATGATGTGTGTTATAAAAAGGTTCTTTTTAAAATAAAAGTATGTGTTATAACAAGGTCCTTTATTAAATCATAATATGTGTTATAACAAGGTCCTTTTTTAAATCATAATATGTGTTATAACAAGGTCCTTTTTTTAAAATCATAATGTGTTTTAACAAGATTCTTTTTAAAATCATGATGTGTGTTTTAACAAGGTTCTTTTTAAAATCATGATGTGTGTTATAACAAGGTCCTTTTTTAAATCATAGTATGTATTATACCATGGTCCTTTTTTCAATCATAATAATGGGAGGGGGGGGGGGGGGGACAAAAAATATACGCCTATGGAGTTGCAATGAACTAAAATTCAATTTTTCTTAAATTCTTTTTTCAAAAAGTTTGATTTTCCTTGGACATCCACCAGGTGTAATGTTGACGTTGTACTGGTATATGTACCCGGGTTTAACAGATACCTAGAATATGTACAGTGTACTGGTATATGTACCCAGGTTTAACATATACCTAGAATATGAACAGTTGTACTGATAGATGTACCCAGGTTTAACAGATACCTAGAATATGTACAGTTGTACTGGAATATGTACACAGGTTTCACAGATACCTAGAATATGTTCAGTGTACTGGTATATGTACCCAGGCTTCAAAGATACCTAGAATATGTACAGTGTACTGGTATATGTACCCAGGTTTAACAGATACCTAGAATATGTACAGTTGTACTGGTATATGTACCCAGGTTTCACAGATACCTAGAATATGTACAGTGTACTGGTATATGTACCCAGGTTTAACAGATACCTAGAATATGTACAGTTGTACTGGTATATGTACCCAGGTTTCACAGATACCTAGAATATGTACAGTTGTACTGGTATATGTACCCAGGTTTCACAGATACCTAGAATATGTACAGTTGTACTGGTATATGTACCCAGGTTTCACAGATACCTAGAATATGTACAGTTGTACTGGTATATGTACCCAGGTTTCACAGATACCTAGAATATGTACAGTTGTACTGGTATATGTACCCAGGTTTCACAGATACCTAGAATATGTACAGTTGTACTGGTATATGTACCCAGGTTTAACAGATACCTAGAATATGTACAGTTGTACTGGTATATGTACCCAGGTTTAACAGATATTTAGAATAAGTACAATTGTACTGTTATATGCACTGATATATGTACCCAGGTTTAACAGATACCTAGAATATGTACAGTTGTACTGGTATATGTAGTTTGTAACCCAGGTTTAACAGAAACCTAAAATCCAACACCTTTAAATGATTTGTTCTGATAAAAAGGTTTTTACCTCTTATTGATTGACTTTAAACCCAAAGATTTCTTACTTCAAATAATTTGCACTGAAAAATTAACCCCACCTCTAAATGTTTTGCTCTGAAAAATAACCCCATCTCTAAATGTTTTGCTTTGAAAAATTATCCCATCTCTAAATGTTTTGCTCTAAAATTATCCCATCTCTAAATGTTTTGCTCTAAAATTATCCTAACTCTAAATGATTTGATCTAAAATTATCCTAATTCTAAATGATTTGCTCTGAACTTAAAACACCTCTAATTGATTTGCTCTGAACTTATTCTACCTCTAAATGTTTTGCTCTGAACCTATCCTACTTCTAAATGATTTGCTCTAAACCTATCCTACTTCTAAATGTTTTGCTCTGAAATTATCCTACTCCTAAATGATTTGCGCTGAACCTTTCCTAACTTTAAATGATTTGCTCTAAAATTATCCTAATGCTAAATGATTTGCTCTGAACTTATTCTACCTCTAAATGATTTGCTCTGAACTTATTCTACCTCTAAATGATTTGCTCCAAAATTATCCTACTTCTAAATGATTTGCTCTAAAATCATCCTAATTCTAATCGATTTGCTCTGAAGTTAAATCCTACCTCTAAATGATTTGCTCTGAACTTATTCTACCTCTAAATGATTTTCTCTAAAATTAACCTACCTCTAAATGATTTGCTCTGAGAGAAATGGGTTTACCCTCCTGCCCTAGCGCAGGCCTGCGTTGGGCATGAAACTTCCGTTTAGTGGGCGGGGAGGCTGGTCTGGAGGGAGGAGAGTTAGAACACTCCCTTGAGTCCGGGGGAGTATAATCTGTTATAATAGATTCTGTGAAAATATTCAGCTCCGTTATGTTTATCTCAGTTTTCATTGTGTTGAAGTAAATATTTTCTATTCTGAAATTATCTCATATTAATCTTTACGTAATCGCAATTTACGACCAAGCTCAGGTAAACGGCGGGAGTAAATATGAGTACCCTGCGCAACCCTGGGTTCCAATGTTATAATGAGCACCATAAACATATGTATGGAGAATCATCATAAAATGACCATTAGCAACACTATGGATTGGAGACATTATGAAATGCTATGGATGAAATTGAATAAAATTTATGAGTGAAAAGCCGGTTTTCGTATTTTTATTTTAACCCCCCTCCCTCTAAACCAGTTGCGGCATGGGCCCATGATAGCTAATGTATTAAATTATTTGTATGCAATTTGTAAATCTAACCTAAGTCAGGTTACAACTTTATAACTGAAGGCCGTTCTAATAAAGGATTTACACCAGTGTAAACTGTCATTTACACTGGTGTTTACCTAGGATCGGATTTAATAGTCATGAATTACACTGGTTCAAACAACAACAACGTACAGTTTACACTGGGTAGATTTACACCAGTGTCAAGAAATGAAAACACTGGGTCCACCCTGTGTTTTCTGACTTACCCAGGGTAAACAGAGTATTTACACCAGGGTAACATAAGGATGATTAATAAAACCGTGAGTATGGCGACACTGGTGTAAATTCAGCTGACCCAGGGTTCAGGAATGATTATTAAATCCGTGCTTAGGTTACACCAAGGGACACAAATACACCAGTGTAAATATACCCTTAGGGTTTACACCAGTGTATTGCATTTCTTTATTAGAACGGCCTTAAGTAGTATTAAAAGTGGTGTAATTTGCTTAACTTTAAATTTAACTCATTTTATCTAACAATAGGAATCAGAACATAAAGAGAATTTGATTATAATCGTATAAAATAGAAATCATAATTATCACTTTTTTCACGTATTTATCATAATTTTTGTTACTACGTGGTTACGGAAGTGTACAATGTTATGGCACGAAACAAGTATAAAGGAAGGTTTCTTCTATAATACCTTTATACTTTGTTATGTAATTGTGTAAAGTATAAATTTTTTAAGTACAACTGTACTGTGTAGGTGTTACAGAATTCACAGAACGTACAGTATACAACTGTAATGTGTAGGTGTTACTGAATTCACTGATTGAACGTACAGTATATTAATGAAATAAGGAAATAAAATATTTGTGTTTACATTTTAAATTAAGTTAAAGTAAACATAAGAGAAAAACACAGAAATTATTTTTTAATTTTATAGACACTTAAAACAACATAATTCATATAATATGAATTAATTCATGGGTCGGGTGTTAAAAACTATAATTAATTAAAACCAGGTTAATTGCTGGCTTGGTGTAAGATGGCTCAAAACTAACCAATATATCACAGCAAACGGGGGGAGGGGGGGGGTGATATGAGTTGTACTGGTATATGTACCCAGGTTTCACAGATACCTAGAATATGAACAGTTGTACTGGTATATGTACCCAGGTTTAACAGATACCTAGANCCCCCAGGATTCTAGGGGGGGGGTAAATAACCCCAATAACCCCCCTTATGGCCGCCACTGCTCCAATTAACAATTAAACTTCTTCAATCTTATCAAGTTTTCGAAATGTAAGAAAGTCCCGGGAAAAAAAGTTTCTGGAAAAAAAAACCTGGAAATAAAAACTTTGGAAAAAAGTCCGAATTTTCTCAAGTCCTTGGAAAAAATGTCATTGGAAATAAAGTCCTGTGTTTTGGATTCCTGGGACTTTTTTCCTAAAAAATAAAGTCTCGAATTGGCAGGACTTTATTTCCGGAGACTTTTTAATAAAAGGACTTTTTTCCACAGGACTTTTTTAGTGTGAAATTTTAGGACTTTTTTACGGAAACTTGTTTTACAAGGACTTTTTTGGCGGTTACCTTTGAATCCCATGCGACCATAATATGTCGTCTATCGACGGACCAAGTGTTTTAACGTGTATGGAAAGGAACTGAGTTTTTGCCTCAAACTCTGATTTTATTCTTATATCTTTGGAACTTAATGTGTCAATACCGTAGACCTATGATATTTCAAACTATTATAAATTCTTTTAGATCAGGTAATCTAAAATTTAAATATCAAAGGTTTACACCATCAGGTTGCACAAATATAGAGATAAATAGATTTGATTTTGTGGCAAAAACTTAGTTTCCTTACGTGTAATATCATTTTATTTTTGTTAAACCAAATATTTAAACACTTCTTTTCTTATTTCTCTAGATTAACGATCATATGCGCTATAACGGTAATTGAAATAAATCAATTTTCAACCGATTTTTTTTATGATTTTTAATTCTTTTCATATATTTATAATCTTTCATGAACTACAATCGGGTTAACTACATATTTGCGTCTTTCGTAATAGCTTCTTAAGTAAAAAATATATTTGTAGATTCATAATTTTATAAATGAATTGAATTAATCTCAGCAATTGTCAAATATTTTAAGCAACTGTTTTTGAAGATAAACTATACGTTTACAATAATAATGATACAGTAGAGGATTAAGTCCCCGAAAGAGGATTATGAAATCCGCAAATGAGTGGTGTCGAATCTTGGAACCAGAGAAGACCTACTCAACTTCCTCTCCTTTCATACACTCGTTATTTATCATGTAATTATATCTAGAAGCAATAAATGTACTTCTAAAATACCACACAATGTATAATTGGTCATAATTTTGAAATATAGAACAAATACTTTATTCAGACAATTATCCTTCCAAGTTGATATTTTTCGATGAATATGCTCAGCATATGCACACAATGTTAAGCTCCGGAAAATATTGCTTTGAAGGGTAACATTTAAAATATATTTTCTTTAAATTAAGTATTTTTTTATCATGGAAGAGTTCATTGTTTACAAACTAATTACTCTACATATATAAGGGTCAAATTAAACATATATGTTTACAAGGGTGTCCAAAAAATGTTAACTGTTTTAGATAATTAGTTTAGATTATAGAGATAGGCATGCATAATTTGGGTAGTTTTTTTCACGACTTTTAAGGTTTTGTTTACTTATAAAAAAGTTTAATTTTTTAACAATTTGATCGAGAAGAATTAATATTTTGGAAAGGTTTACACATTGACAAAAATTGACCTGTCAGGCGCGTAGTGGAGGGGGGGGGGCCGGTACACCTATGCCCCCCTAGACATGCATCCCACTAGGCCCCCCCAAGAGCCAAAGGCAGGCTCTAATTTATTAAACAGTGAACTTACATATATATTCAGATTTTTTACTTTTCTTATCAATCGACAATGTCACAATTTGTCCATTTTATGATTATTTCTCAAATTCTTTCTTGTACCTCAATCTTATTTACAATTTTTTTTTCGCGGGGATTCATCTAAAATGATTGGTAATTATGGTCAGATGACTAATAGTCAGCTTTCAGGTAGATTAATATAGATTTTAAACTTTATTTTTTCTTAATACCGGTTTTTTAGGGGGGTGCATATCAACCGTTAGTGGGGTGCACAAAAAAAGCACCCCCCCAGGCTAAACCTCCACTACGCGCCTGTGACCTGTGTCTGTTATATCGCATTTTTTAGGACATGTTATAATAGGATATATTTTGTGTATCAATATCAAATATCAACATTTGTTTCTAAAAACTTAAATCATGCAAAGTAAAATTTACAACTAGATTTTTAAAATTGTAATTAAAACCATGGGGGGCAAAAAACAAACTTTTCCTATAGTTTTGTTAATACTCTTTCTTCGGGCATATAATACAATTTAGGATAGATTAGCGTACATCAGCACTCGATACACTATAACCTCGTTGGTCAAAACCCATGTGGAATATTGTGGACTTCTGTTTTAATGACTACTTCCGTTCCTTCTGTCATATAGTTGTAAATCTGGAAATCAAGTTATAAAAGACATGTAATGGATTAAACTTTATTTACGAGTTTTGTCATTTAGGTCAGGTAAAATATCACACAAAACGCTTCACACAAAAATTATTAAATAGACTTTAAAAAAGGCTGTAAAGGTAATTTAATATCTGATTCACAAGGATACCAATTGAACTTTTTATTAAAAAGGACAAAGAAGATATCATTATTTTAGTAGCTGAAAACTAAGCTATTATTCTTACTGAGAAAACGGTTATTCCAAAAAAGATATTTTTTTTCTCCAGAAATCACAGAAAAAAAACATTTTCATTTGAATAATTAAGAACTTCATATTTGACAAGAACTCCCGATTTATCAGAGGGGGAGGGTATGAAAGAAAGAAGATGACGGGGTGGTATCGTTAGTCAATTTAATATAAAAATTATTGCTGTGTTTTATTTAAAAAACAATGACATAGATTTAAAGGGTAAAATTGTGTATCGGGTATGAAACCATTTGAAAATCATGTCGACAGTCCCTTTAATTAATTTATCAGCATTGAAAGGCTCACTCCCATGTTCAACAACACTTTAAAGAAGATCATCTGCAGAGAGACCAAGAAATGAAGGTTTGAGTCCAGATATGAATCCACTAAAAAAAAAACAATATAATTAAAAATACCATCCTATTACTTATAATAAACATGATTTGATTTAGCATTATATTTTATTTGGCTCTCAAAAACAATTTAAGACATTTCGAAGGGTTAGAGGCCATGCTAAGATTGTGATTACCTTTGTCAGATGTTACATTATTTAAGAAGGCGCGTTTTAGGTTTAGAACTAATGCTTAAAAGAAATAAAAGTTGTATAAATGTGACGAGGTAATGTTGGTTTAGAAATGAAAAGTAGCCGATTTTGTCTTTGCACACTATTTTAAACTCTGATAATTCAAAACTCACTTTTTTCTAGTGAATGATTTTTTTCCAGCTGCGAAGTTTTTCATGTAACACCTGGCCAAGTCGGGATTGAAAACCCATCCCTGAAAAATAAATTTCTAATTTTTTACTCAACCTCCTTAAAAATTGATCATCTGTACCTGACAGGCCTCAGTTGAATGACAAAGTTCTTTGCATTCATCACCAGAACTGGTTGGAGCTGATGATAGATCAGATTGAAGAATTACTACGTTCTTGACCTAAAGCAGTAGAGGAATTTCAAAAATTGAAAGTAAGGAATAGACATTTTTTTTCAATCTTAACTTTTTGCTATTCATCACAATTTTATGAGAATCCTTTTACGTTTTGACAAAACCTAACAAAGGAATTGAGACTTTGCAACAAACTCTAAACTTTTAATCCCTTTTTTTTTTGCAAACCAATTTTGTAGACCTTGGATAGTTTAACTTTGAATTTTGTAAGGTCAAATAACCTTTGTACACTATCAGATTGCAAAGATTTAAAACTTTGAGTTTGTGGCAGAGACTCAATTCCTTTTTATTTGTTCTGAGAGCATAGTTGATGAACAGGGTGTCCCCATAAAATAGGAATTCAGTGACGAATTCGATATCGCCTTCATAAATAATTCTTGAATTTAGTACAGTGATACCTATACTGAGAAAGCTATAATCCGTAAGAGTTTCGTCTGCTATATTTACATTTTGTTTGTTTATGTTTTGAATGCATACGGCCGGTTGTATTAGTTGTATACTTACTAAAACAAGAAAATTTCAGTATACAAACAGAGTAAACTTGTCCGTCTTCACTGTTCATCTTGTGGAGACATTATAGACACATCTTTACAGCCATTTGCCCTTATCATAAAATAAACTCTAGCAGACATAATTATTTTATGGCTTTTGAAATCAGGTTTTACAATGCTAATTCATAGCAAAGACGATATCGAATTCGTCACTGACTTCCCAGTTTACTGGGACACCCTGTATCTGCCCGATAACTTGATAAATAGTTTCCCAGAAACATGAAAACATAGAAATTTCTTTTAAAAAAGATGGTTTAATGTTCGCCTGGAATGGGTTGACAGATTCAAGAGTCTTGCTCCTTTTGCACATTTCAGGCTTACAATCCACAGAACCTCTAAATGTTTAAAAATCCACAATTTTCTAATGTTTTCTCTTATTTTTCAATAAATGCAATTTAACTAATCTGAGTTTCAAAATATTTACGAAATCAAATTACTTTTTATGCAAAAACGTTCAAAAATTATCAGAAAGGAAATAATTTAAGCCACAAACTAAAATTATCTAATCTCTATATCTTTGCAATCTGATAGTGTAACAGTGTAAACTTTTGTTCAAACTTAGATTATTTAATCAAACAGAATGCATAGTTTAAATATCAAAGGTTGCAAAGATATATTAGAAAAGATATATGTGCAAAGTACATTGTACGTACATTTTCCAGTTATTTTTTCAGAAACCCTTGAATGAATGTTTAATGATATTTACTTTAAATATTTGAAAAGTTAAATTTCCTGAAAGGAAAAGTATTTAATGAATAGAATGCAAGTACCCGCTGCAAGTTTTGCTTTTTTGCGTTAGAAGTCCAGGTTTTTTAGTCCAGAAGTTTGACTCCAAGTTTTCCTAAAGAACAAATTGGGGTTTAAACTAAAAGGACTATATAATTGTAATTTCAAGTAATTTACTATGGAAAATGCACGATTCAAAACCGTTCCTTTTAAATCGTTTTCAATAATATGAATTACATTATTGTTGTTCATGCTTAAAAAATGTTTATCTCAGCCTGGCAAGTTTTACATTGTTTCTGTATGAATACAAATCCGCAAGCTACTATATATACACCAAAATGATATCTCACTCAATTTTGATCAGAAAAAGCTTTGAATCGAACATGACATAAAAATAACAATTTTTCATTTTTCATACAATGTAAACCCTATTTCCCAGGGGGGGGGTCAATTTGACCCCCCCCTTGTCGTTTTTTTGCGATAACTCAAAAGTGTTAAAGATAGCTGAAGCTTAAAGTTACTGAATTTTCTAACTAACACACACTTAAGGTTATCTTATACTTATTCCTGAGTCCCCAAACATACTTACTTATTTTACCTTTATCTAAATCTATATTTAGACCTACTTCCAGTAATTGGATTTCAACACTTTATAGCTCTTTGGTAAGCCTATAATGAATGCAACCAGATTGCACAATTTTGAAAATATTTTGAACAGATGTTTGCACGGACGCCTTTAAAGGGAATTTGCACATTTTCAGTTTTTCTTGAATACACATTAGGTATTAAAAATTTAGAAAATATTTTTCAATCCCCTTTTGGATTTCTTCATCTTATTTTCCTTAATGAAAAAATACCAACCTTGCAACAACTGCTCCAATTGTTAAATGGAAAAGTTTTATCTTTAGGGCATTCAACTTTGCTAATCTGTAAGTAAAAATAATTTGGGTTATTTTAACATTTCAAAGTTGTTAATGCTTTTTTAAACTAGTGATATCAGACCAAAACAAAACTAATGAGTTAAAAACATATTAATGCCATTATAAACCGTTCTTAGATTGGCTTAGAGGCAAAGGAATTGAGTCTTTGCCAAAAACTCTGATTTTCTAATTCCTATATCTGTGCAACCTGCAATGGCATAGACCTAAGATATTTCAAATTATGATTTCTGTTAGATCAAATCATCTAATTTTGAAATATCAAAGGTTTACACCATCCGGTTGCACAGATATAGGGATAAGAAAATTTGGGTTTGTGGCAAAGACTCAATTTCTTTTAAGATTTTGTATTTTATTATTTGATATTATTTCCAGATTTTAAAATGCTAAACAGAACAAAAAAATTTTACCGTTATGCCTACTCTTTTCTTAACTTTCACTATAAATGTCAAATCATGAAATGCGGGATTAATTTATTTTTATTTTTATTTAATCTTATCAAGATTTGAATTTAAACTATGATTTAAAAATTAAAAATTAAATAAAGTAAATAATAATTCCACATTTTATTGTAAATATATTTTGGTCTGAGTTGATCCTCGTCAGTACTGGAGAGTTGAGATTCAAAACAAACTGAAGCTTTAGATACTGTACAACAAGATGTCAACAAACTGAAGTTTTAGATACTGTACAACAAGATGTTAACAAACTGAAGTTTTAGATACTGTACAACAAGATGTCAACAAACTGATGGTTTAGATACTGTACAACAAGATGTCAACAAACTGAAGTTTTAGATACTGTACAACAAGATGTCAACAAACTGAAGTTTTAGATACTGTACAACAAGATGTCAACAAACTGATGGTTTAGATACTGTACAACAAGATGTCAACAAACTGAGGTTTAGATACTGTACAACAAGATGTCAACAAACTGAAGTTTTAGATACTGTACAACAAGATGTCAACGATTGACCAACTTTCGAAAATAGATTGCAAAGTGTAAGGCAATCACTAATCTGATTTTTTGAGCTCTTAATATCTCTGAAATTCAAGTTTCAAGTTTTAATTCAAGTTTCTGGAAATCCAATTTTTCACTTTCATTGATTCAGACCTTTAACTGAAAGGTAACTTGAAATGGAACCTCAAATTCCTAAATGATCAGTTTTAATTTCGGCAAATCATGATTTTTTCCTTTTTTTTGCTCTAAATTTCCAGAAACATCTTGATCTGGGGGCTCGTCTTTTAACCATCCAAGCTCACAGGAGTTTGCACTGAGGTTTTTTTATTATTATCTTAAAATTTTTTTAAATAATGGAGTTACCTAAATCTTATTGCGTTGACGGCAAAAACGTCTTTATTCGCAAGGAATGAACACTTAACAAACACAAAATGTTCTTAATTGTATCATACAGGGACTGTAAGTGTAATTTCAAGTGACCTTGCAGGCAAAGATGGCAATGCCCGATTCACAACGGTACCCTTGAAAGCTTTGTATGATCAAGTATGAATTATTAATCAATTTTTATAATTTAGGAAACTGATTATTTTCAATTGTGGTTTCTCTGCAAAAGTGACTTGTGCATTTTTACTACAAGAAAACATTATAACATATATGAATTATCAGTTTTAAACTTTTTAAAAAAAGACAATATCTTGCACATTATTGATTAGCTAATGGTTTTAAGAGTATCGTTGTGAATCGGGAATTGCATTCTTTGTATTTGGGGTCACTTGGAATTGCACTTACCGTCCCTTCCCTTTAAGTAGAAAATAAGATGTTTATAATGAAAGAAAACATACCTCCATCTCCGACAACGCTTTGATTGTCTTTAGACCTGGTAGATTTAACCAATAAGCTTCTTCAACTTCATATTTTTCAAAGCTAGTGCTGACATTTCCTCTCACCACCTACAGGTTTTTTGTAAAGAAATATTACGCATAAAAAATATTTTTCGAAAAGATAATTTATGTTATTGGGATTTGAGAATAAAAATTCACAAAAATCTTAATGTTTATATTTAGTAGAAGACTAATATGAAAAAGGAACTAGGTGATCTTGCCAGGCTACATTTATTGCATAAAAAGTGCTGGGTCGTCTCTACACTGAGTAGTACGACTGAATGCAATATACAGTACATGTTGTGGATCATGCACTTTTAGGAAATTTCTAATTATTTCTCAGGAATTTCCGGAGAAGTAATCAGGAGAAATTCTCAGGATTTTCTTTGGGTGATTTGCCGGAGAAATTCCAAGGAATTTCATGATACTAATTCTCTTAATAAATTCCCCTAAAAATCCGTAAACATGGTGACTAATTAAGTCCTAAGAATTTCTCAGGAATTTCCGGAGAATTATTGCGGAGAAATTCTGAGGAATTTCGTGGGAAAAAATTCCGAAGAATTTCTCAGGAAATTCTCAAAACTGTGATCCCACAAAAATCTCTCATCTTGGGGATCAATTCTGGTGAATTTCTCGAGAATTTCCTAGCAAACAGTTACAGGAAATGATTCTCGATAAATTCCACGGAAATTCCTCAAAGGAAGTCACCACGGAGAATCTGGGAAATTTCTCACTTTTGTTACTTTTTACACTTGTGACGTAGTGCACAGTTGATCGATTTTTCTGTTACCATCGATAGTACTTGAGTCTTGATAACCTATTTGGTTGTAGTTAGTTTTAAGTGCTGAAACTGAATGTAAGCGCAATTTCAAGTGACCCTCCAGGCAAAGAATTGGCAATACCTTTAAAAGCTTTGTCTGATCAAGTATGAATTAGATATGCATGTTTTTGTTCATCAAAATTACTTATTTTCATTTGTGGTTTATCTGCATTTATTGCTCATAGGATACAATGGAGAAATTCTCATAAATACTTTTGGAGTCAGAAAAATGTTTTAAGTGTACAGTTGAAAATCGGGTTATTGATATATAACTTTATTAGGTTTAAAATTCGGTGATGGTGATGGACCAAACCTCTGTAGAGTAAAAAAGTAGATGTTAGTTCCACATTTATTGAAAATATATTTCGGTCTGGGTTGACCTTCGTCAGTTCTTGAGATTTTTTCTTCACAAAGATTAAAAACAAACTTTATTAGGGTCACTTAAAATGAGGCAATCATGGTCTCTTTAAGCACATTGAAATAATTTTCTATTTTTAATAATACCTGGTAGAAAAGAAACACAACTAGGATAGACCTCATGTTAAACTGAAGTGCGTAGAGTTAGCTGAAGAGAGGTACTAGCTAGCTTTAAGTTTATTTAGTATTGATTTATATATATATACTTGCAATAACGAGTCAAATTTTCCATTGAAAACTTTCCATTGGTTTTAAAGGGATATAATAGATATAATTTCCTTTCATTGAGTGGAATGTATACGAGTATACTCTTGAAAGTTTTGTTTGCAAGAATGAATGCGATTTCCACCATCTTTCTTTGAAAATTAATAATCTTTAATTGTTGTTTTGTTTTAAAGTGACTTTCGCATTTCTGCCTCAGAAACAATGGAGGAAATTGTCAGAGTAAAGAGGACGGTGTTTTCCACATTATTTATCAGAGTAAGGTTTAAAGGGTACCATTGTGTGTCAGGCATGCCAAGGACAGAGCCTTTAACATTGCTTGCATTTAAAACAACATTTCTGAATTAAACGAGAAAACAATTGTGAATGAAGAACAAATGTGGCCATTTATGAAAGCTACTTTTTATCCTTCCCGGTGTTTACTGTTTACTCCCAAATTATCCATTTAAATATTGTTCATAAAGGTTTAGGTTTACAATTTTAAATTGTTTGTTCACAAACATTTGGTTCCCATGATATAGATGGTATTGAGGGCAAATGAAACTAAATATTTATTTACGATGTACAATACAAGAGGGAGTCAACCATTTGGCCTACCGTCCCGTTTTGCCTCATATTGTCTGTATTTGGATGGAACACATGGACTACACAGACTGCTTGTCTCCTTTCACAGGGTGGGCTACATTGGCCTAAGTTGACCCGGCACGACGTGCTACGTTTATACGATAGGTTTTTAGAGTACCATCTCACGGCCACTTGTTGCATATAATACCCATTCAGGGGTTAAGTTTTACAACTTTTAAAGAAATACTCCACTTTTAAACATGCAACATAACATTTATTTTTTGAAGATTTTGTGTTTCATATCAAAAGAATCCTTAAATATCCCTGGATACAGTTGCTTGCTGATTGGTCGTGTACAGTACGTGTACACAATAGAACATGGTGTGAAAAATATCGCATATTTTAGTTGATAATATGCTTGCTCTGGCCAGTTAAAATTGGCACAGTACATGAAATGAACTTGTACAGTGACAGGACGACCTCCAAACAAATAGAGGACAAACTCCAAACCAAAAAATAGAGAACAACCTCCGAACCAAACAAATACAGGGCGACCTCAAAACGAAACAAACATGGAACGACCTCCAAACAAATAGAAGACGACCCTCAAAAATTCAAACAAATAGAAGACGAGCTCGAAACGAAAAATACAGAGAACAATCTCAAAACAAACAAAAAGAGGACGACCTCCAAACAAAAAAAATAGAGAACAACCTCCGAACCAAACAAATACAGGGCGACCTCAAAATCAAACAAACATGGCACTACCTCCAAACAAATAGAGGACGACCCTCAAAACCAAAAAAAATAGAAGACAAACTCGAAACGAAAAATACAGAAAACAATCTCAAAACAAACAAAAAGAGGACGATTTAACCCTATCTCTGCTGGGGTACTTGAATACCAGGATATGCTGGGGGGGAGTCAATTGACCCCCCCCCTCTAAATCCCATGTTTGATGTCCAAATATGACAAATGATACATCATTAGAAAGCTCTTGTGCTCTACTTTTTGAATCTGCAAAAAAAATTGCAAATTTTCAAAAATTTAATTTTTTATCGCAAAATCCAGTTATACAGTAAAAATGTTTGCAAAAAAAAATTTGTCCAAAAAATGAAAAGCCCTTGACCATGCCATTTCAAATATGCAAAAATTTTTGCAAAATTTTGAATAACCTGATTTTTAATCAAGAAAAACTAAAAATGTGCAAATTTCCTTTGACAGGTTGTTTGCAAAAAAATTGCAACTTTTTTTGCAAAACTTGTGCAATTCATATCCTTATGTCAAAGGCTTTCCAAAAAGCTAAATTTTATCAAAATCTGACAAGTGGAAGTGGGTCAAAACAAAGATTTAGTTTGTTACAGGAAAAAGCAGTCATTCAGGCAGTGTGCCTGAGGACCCAAGGCAGTTAGTATTAAAGCCCAGTTTTATGCCTAAAGGGAGAGCTTTGGGTATGTAGGAAAAGTCAAAAAATTTCAACTGCCTCAGACTAATACTTTTTGAGTTATGTAAAAAAACTACAGGGGGGTCAAATTGACCCCCCCCCCCAGCAGAAACCAAGCCAATCAGAATTTTAGATGAAATACTAAACCTAGCAAAAGTCCCTGTAAGCAAATGAAGACAAAATTAAATTGATTTTAAAAAGAATATTTAAAGAAATCAATAATCTTGGGAATTCGAGGCTTTAACATTAATTATTGATTCAAAAAGAAAAGTTATTAAAACGTTTAAATAGTTGTTGAATTATTAATGGCCAATGGAATTGAATAAAACGGTTCAAACATTAATTTATCATAAACTAATTTTTAAGTTTTTGAAAAATTAACAGGGCTAAACTATTTCATTTGTGGACATATTTTTTGAAAGTTAGACCAACCAACACATATTTTGTTTTATAGAATGTAACATAGTTTCTAAATTGGATTCGTCTTAAAGGAACATTCCATCATTTTTTCATAGCAAGGGCGTATAAATGGGGTGTATGGAGGGGGGGGGGGTGATGCCCTGCCCACGGCAACCATATATTCTTAAAATATTTTCTCATTTTCAAACATCTAACTTATTAAATTTTCAACAAAATGCCAACCAACCCAGAGAATACATTCTGTTTACGATGGATATTTTAATTTTAAGAAACAAAGGAATTGAGTCTTTGCCACAAATTCAGTTTTTGTAAAACCTATATCTTTGCAACGTTATGATGTAAACCGTTGATATTTCAAACTTACATTATTTGATCTGATAGCATTCATAGTTTGAAATATTAAAGATCTACGACATTGGGTTGCAAAGATATTAAAATTTGAAAATCAATGTTTGGAGCAAAAACTCAATTTCTTTTCTTAAATGTAATCTTAACTTGTTCAGGTTTTATGATGCCGGGTCTGTCAGGAGATTTATTTACTGCATGAAGTTCATATTTTACAAAAGTTGGAAATTACGATTAAAAAATTGTTTTGTTTTTATTAATAAATTGTTAAGCCCACTTCGTTGTATTTTCTTTATAAAATTATTCTTACAGCTTCGTCAGGTTTAGAATTTGTTTCTTTCTAGTTGGATAATGTACTCTCTGCCTAGTACTGTCTAGTACTCTCCGTGTAGTTATTAAATAAGCTTCTTAAAGTAAAAAGAAATACAGATATGGCATATTTTTACTGTTTTTGCTCTATAATTTTCTTTTTTTGGCCTTTCATTTCAAGTAAATTCACTTATCACATAAACAGAGGCATATTGGATGTTAAATTTGTATCATGCATATGAAAAGAAATAGAAATTGCTCGTAAGAAAAAATAACATTTTTTTTTTAAAAAAAATTTCTCAATTTTGGAGCACAAAAAAATATTTTTGAACAAAAAACTTTTGTATATGAAAATGGATATTTCAAAATTCAAAAACTCGAAGTGTTTATCGTAATAAATTTTATTTACCCTTCATTTAACTCACAAGCACAGCTGTACTCTTTAAACCTTTGTCTGGTCTATAATGTGGAAGATATAGTCGTTTTTTTAGCTTGTAAAGTATTTGAATTCTGGCCATTTTTGCCGGTCCCTTTTACTTTTAAAGTTAAAAATATGGATATCTTACTCATTTTTTGAATATTATAAAGCTTATAGGGGCCCTCTATGAACTATATATTTCGTCTACTGCAGTTACAGGGACCATGGACAAAGGCTTAAAAACTATTCTCTAAATTTTGATTCATAATCCAATTAAGTCTACAAAAATGCCCCTCTTCTTTATATGTACATGTTGACCTTTTCGTCAAATTTTGAGGGGACTGTACAATACAAGTCGTTGTCTTCTAAACTAAAGTTTCATTTAAAAAAAAGAATTTTTGAGTTTTGAATAATTGGGGGAGAATTTTTAATTTACGATAACCTTAAAAATTACAATCCACATTTTGCAATCATGCTTTTTTTTTGAATATTTGGCACAAATTGAAAGATTGGGACAATTGTAAACATTTTTTCTATAATTGTGTAAAATGTAAAACAAAAATAAACAAAAAAGTTCGCGGATTTTATTTTAAAATTTCATGGATTTTCAAACCTGAATGAAAATCAAATTTTGTTGGAGGCAAATTATTGAAATTTCGATCGTCCATAAACCTTCCCTCTGGGCTCATGTGAGGTCCCAGTATATATCTATGATTACCCAATTGTTGCAGATTTTCCCCATTTATAACTATAGTGTTAGAAATGGGCCAAATCCCGGTTTGGAATATAATGTCCTCTGAAATAGTAAAACTGTTTCATTCTATTTCTTTAACCATTTGCTTAAACACAAACTCATTTAAATATTTGTGACTCATTTTGATAATTATTTTGGGTAAGCTCCGTTTTGATCCTCAATTCTTAAATTTATCCGACCCTCGTCCAACACCAACTGACCATATAGAAAGTCCCAGGTTAAAATGTGTTAGTTTGAATATACCAAACTAGAGGTCTCACTAATTCATACCGAGTATTCTAAAATTAAGGAAGATCAGTTAATTTCAAAATTATAAGTAAATTTACTTAAAAAGAAATGTATAAAAGTTGTTGATAGACAGGACTTAATTAGACAATTCTTTATAATAAAACATTTATTCCTTATAGTAACAATTTAAAGAGACTTTATACAATTTTCATTGTTTATTTTACATTCAGTAGTATTATAGGCCAGGCATGCAGCTTTTACCTATTTATTAAAAGGCTAGGCCTTTACTCCGAGAATATTAAACAGAATTAGCGGGAAATATTTATTAAGAAACAAAGAGACTGATCCAATTTTAATTTTTTAATATTTGATGATCATTAACACGACTGTTAACAATAACCTTTGTTAACAACTGTTAACGACGAACCTTTGTTAAAAACTATTAACGACGACTCTTCATTAAAAACTTACTTATTATTGAGTAGTTTTAAAGAAAATATTGAGATCCCAGCAAGTTTTTTACTGGATTATTTATCAAAATGACGTAACACATCTACCCCATCTATAATCCACAAAAGTTAAAAAAAAAGATAC